CGTTCCTTCTGTTTCTATTGTATGGAACAATTTGAAGAGTATTGGAATTAGTTCTTTGAGAATCTGGTAGAATTCTGCACTGAAACCATCTGGTCCTGGGCTTTTTTTGGTTAGGAGACTTTTAATGACTGTTTCTATTTCTTTAGGGGTTATTGGTCTATTTAAATAGTTTATCTGGTCTTGATATAACTTTGGTATGTGGTATGTATCCAGAAAATTGTCCATTTTTTCCAGATTTTCCAATTTCATGAAGTATAGGTTTTTAAAATATGACCTGATGATTCTCTGGATTTCCTCATTGTCTGTTGTTATGTCTCCCTTTTCACTTCTGATTTTGTTAATTTGTGTGCTCTCTCTCTCTGCCTATTGGTTAATTTGGCTAGGGGTTTGTCTATCTTGCTGATTTTTTCAAAGAATCAACTCTTTGTTTCATTGATTCTTTGTATTGTTCTCTTGTTTTCTATTTCGTTGATTTCAGCCCTCAATTTGATTATTTCCTGGCGTCTATTTCTCCCGAGCAAGTTTGTTTCTTTTTGTTCTAGAGCTTTCAGTTGTGCTGTTAATTCATTAGTATGGGATTGCTCCATCTTCTTTATGTGTGCATTTAGAGCTATGAATTTTCCTCTTAGCACTGCTTTCATAGTGTCCCATAAGTTTGCGTATGTTGTACTTTCATTTTCATTGAATTCTAGGAAATCTTTAATTTCTTTCTATTTTTTCCTTGACCCATTGGTGCTTCAGGTGGGCATTTTTCAGTTTCCATGAGATTGTAGGCTTTCTATAATTTTTGTTGTTATTGAAATCTAACTTTAAGGCATGGTGGTCTGATAAGATACAGGAAGTTACTCCAATTTTTTTTTTATCTGTTGAGATTTCCTTTGTGACCAAGCATGTGGTCAATTTTTGAAAAGGTTCCATGGGGTGCTGAAAAGAAGGTATATTCTTTTGTTAGGGTGGAATGTTCTGTAGATATCTATTAAGTCCATTTGAGTCATAACATCTGTTAGGTCCTTTATTTCTTTAAGTTTCAGTCTGGTAGATCTGTCTTTTGGTGAGAGTGGTGTGTTGAAATCTCCCACTACTAGTGTGTGGGGTTTGATGTGCAATTTAAGCTTTAGTAATGTTTCTTTTATAAATGTGTGTGCCTTTGTATTTGGGGCATAAATGTTCAGAATCAAGACTTCATCTTGGTGGATTTTTCCTGTGATAAATATGTAATGTCCATCCTGATCTCTTTTGATAGATTTTAGTTTGAAGTCTATTTTATTAGATATCAGGATGGCTACACCAGCTTGCTTCTTAATTTCATTTGATTGGAAAGCCTTTTCCCAGCCCTTTACTCTGAGGAAAAAAGTGTCTGTCTTTGAAGTTTAGGTGTGTTTCTTTTTTTTTTTTAATATTTATTTATTTATTTATTATTTATTTATTATTTATTTATTTATTTATTTATTTATTATGTATACGGAAGAGGGTGCCAGATCTCATTACAGACGGTTGTGAGCCACCATGTGGGTGCTGGGAATTGAACTCAGGACCTCTGGAAGAACAGTTGGTGCTCTTAACCTCTGAGCCATCTCTCCAGCCCCTAGGTGTGTTTCTTGTATGTAGCAGAAGGATGGATCCTGTTTTCATATCCATTCTGTTAGCCTATGTTTTTTTAGAGGTGAGTTGAGACCATTGATATTGATGGATATTAAATACCAGTGATTGTTAATTCCTGTTATTTTTTTTATGTGTGTGGTAGTGTTGTGTTTCCCTTCTTTGGTATTTATTGGTGTGGTATTATCTATTGCCTGAGTTTTTATGGGTGTGTTTAACTTCCTTAGGTTGGATTTTTCCTTCTAGTGCTTTCTGTAGGGCTGGATTGGTGGATAGGTATTGTTTAAATCTGGTTTTATCATGGAATATTTTGTTACTCCATCTATAGTAACTGAGAGTTTTGCTGGGTATAATAATCTGGGTTGGCATCCGTGGTCTCTTAGTGTCTGCATAACATTTGTCCAGGACCTTCTGGCTTTCATAGTCTCTATTGAGAAGTCTGGTGTTTTTCTGATGGGTCTTCCTTTATATGTTACTTGGTCTTTTTCTTTTGCAGCTCTTTGTAGCAGGAATCTTAAAAGTTCTTATTAATAAAATCAAACCTGAGGCCAGTTATTGGGGTCCATGCTGGTAGATCAGAGAGACAGAACAAGCCACAGCTATCTCACCTCGCCGGGATCCTCAGCTGGTCTTGTCTCCTCAGACTGGAGGCCTCTGAGTCCTCATCCAGAATGGGTCTCAGCTGAATTACTGCTCAAAAGCCTGAATGCTTAACCAGCCAAAATCTCAACCAGCCAAAAGCTTCTAGTTTCTGGTCCTCACACCTTATATATCTTTCTGCTTTCTACCACCACTCCCTGGGATTAAAGGCTGGCTTTTTGGGATTAAAGGTGTGTGTCACCATGCTTGGCTATTTCCAATGTGGCCTTGAACTCACAGAGATCCAGAGGGATTTCTATCTCTGGAATGCTAGGATTAAAGGTGTGAGTGCCACCATTTTCTAGCCTTTGTATCTAGTGGCTGTCTGTTCTCTGACCCCAGATAAATTTATTAGAGTACACAATATTTTGGGGAACACAATACCACCACAGCTCTTAACATTGTTTCTTTGTTCTGCATGTTTGGTGTTTTGATTATTATGTGGTGAGGGGACTTTTTTTTTTTTTTGATCCAGTCTATTCAGTGTTCTGTAAGCTTCTTGTATCTTCATAGGTATTTCTTTCTTTAGGTTAGGAAAGTTTTCTTCTATGGTTTTGTTGAATATATTTTCTATGCCTTTGAGTTGGTATTCTTCTCCTTCTATCCCTACTATTCTTAGGTTTGGTCTTTTCATGGTGTCCCAAATTTCTTGGATGTTTTGTGTTACGACTTTTTTGTCTTTAGTGTTTTCTTTGACTGACGAATCTATTTTCTCTATTGTGTCTTCAGTGTCAGAGATTCTCTGTTCCATCTTTTGCATTTGGTTGGTTATGCTTGTTTCTGTAGTTCCTGTTTAGTCAGAATTTCTATTTCCAGCATTTCCTCAGTTTGTGTTTTCTTTATTGCCTCAATTTTAATTTTCAAATTTTGAACTGTTTCCTTCATTTGTTTAATTTTTCTTGGCTTTCTTTGATTTATTCTAATTTTTTTGTTTTTTTCTTCCATTTTTAAGGGAATTTTTTATTTCCTCTTTAAGGGAGTTTTTCATTTCCTCTTTAAGGGCCTCTATCATCTTAAAGTCATTTTTATGATTGATTTCTTCTGCTTCTTCTGTCTTGGTATGTTTAGGTCTTGCAGGTGTAGAATCGCTAGATTCTGATGTTGTCACATAGGTCTTTATGTTGTTGCCTGTACTTTTGCACTGGTGTCTACTCATCTCTTCCTCTGCTCGGTGCAGGTGGTGTCTGTGTCTGAAGGCGCCTCTCTTGTTCTAATTGATAGTCTTGGTCCACTAGGAGTTCTTGGTCGAATCGGTGTTGTTGGGCTCTGTTTCTCCCAGAGCAGCTTAGTCCAGTCAGTGTTAGTGGGTTCTGTCTCAGGGAGCAGTTGTTCCCAATTGATGCAGTGTTGGCTTATGGTTCCAGTGGTTGTTGAGTTCGTAGAGGTTTGTTGTTGTTGTTTTGTTTGTTTTTTGTTTTGTGGGGGAGCAGGCAAAGGTAGCTGTCTGGTCCCTGGGACTCCGATGGCTGGGGCCTAGGGGCTAGAGACCTGGTCTGCCGGTCAGGAGAGGGGGCCTTACCTGTTCCCAGTCAGTGTAGAGTGGACTTATGATTCTGGTGATCTGGTTTGGTGCCTGGGCGGTGCCTTCTTTTTTGTTCTTGGGTCATGTTTTGCTCATTTGTCAACTCCTCAGCTGATCTTGTTTCCTCAGACTGCAGACTGTAGGCTTCTGAAACCTCTCCCGAATGGATCTCAGCTGAGCAGGTTGTTCAGCAGGGCAATCTCACCAACACCTCCAAGTTGTTGCATTTCACAGGATCCGCAGCTGGGCCCTGGGTTGGACTCAGGCAGAATGTTCGGGTCCGTTCTGGTCGCGTCCCAAGGAGACAGCTCCTTCCCCGAGTGCTGGGATTAAAGGTGTCCCTGCTCCAAGCTCTTAATCTCCATGTTCTCAATCTCCATGTTCTCATCAACTCCTCAGTGGATAAAAGCTCAGCTTCTGGTCTTTATTATGACCTCACCTCTGCCTCTGCCTCTCGAATTTAAGGATTCTTAACCAGGTTCAATTTGCCTAACTTTGAGATCATCTCTGTGTACTACCATGACTCTCACCACTAGGGGGAGATTGTTGACAATAGGAAGATTTTTATAGTTTTTAAAAGACTTTCTTTGTGCTTTTTCTCAGTCTTGCCTCCCTACTCCCCCTTCCCTCCCCCTCCCTTTCCCTCCCCTTCTCTTTCCCCCCTCTCATTTATAGCAATTATGTTTTCTTGGTCTTAAATTTGTTCAATTATAAAAATGAACTGACATTCTCACTCTGATGTTCTGTTAAAATATCCCACTTCTAGTGAGTTATATGAACAGCAGTTGACACTAAGCTAATACAATCCCAGGGTAGTAATAGTCCTATTGGAAAATATTTTAAAATAGGGGCAGATTAGAGATGTTTTGCTGTTGAATCAATATTTATAATGCATTTCACAACTGATAAAATATATACAAATTCCAAACCAGAAGATAAATTTGTTCCTATGATTAGTTCTCATATAGAATTTTGACTGCATTGTGTCTACAATATCATTAACTATTTAAATTGGTCTCTTTTCACTGAAAGTTGTAGAAACCCATGGGATTCTCGCTGACTTGAATGAGTGAAAGTGGAATGTTCAGAAGTACAGTGAGCTTCAGCTATGGTTAGATTTGAGGCCTGAACAATATAATGAGGATATATTGCAACACTAGGCAGATGACCACATGCTCCCAGATGCAGAATCCTCCAACAAAAAGGAATCATCTTCCCAGGAAGTTCTCCAGAAAAGACCAAGGGAAACTCACTGACCTGGCTTGAGTTGATGGCTTGCCACAACCAATCAGACCTTAATATTGATGGCTTCAAGGAAGAGGAAAACAGGTTACACACAACAAGGGCAGCTGCACATAAAATATGTGTAGTAGATTCCTCATGAATGAATTTCTGGTAGTAAAAGAAAGTGGGAAAATACAGGACAGGAAGGGAGAAGATGTTCCTGCCATCATTCCCATCAGGGCATGCAGCTGAAGGAATACTGTCCCTGGCTCTATTTTTTGGATAATGAAGACACCTAATTCCTAAATGAGGGGAAAACAGACATGGTATGCCATTTTCATTATAAACCAGAAACTTTTCTTCTTTCTCAACCCAATGGAAATCACTGACAACCTATTACTTGACTTATAAGAGTACTATATTAAAATATTTAATAGAATTATTTTCAAATTCAATAGCTTTGCTAACACAACAGAAAAACATACAAAGCCTTGTCTGTAATATCTTTTGTGATAAAACTAGAATGGGAGGCACAGACTCACAGCATCTCTTAGTAATGAACAGAGACATGATGTGGGCTAAGCCTGATGCCTTGATTTCAGGCTTTGGAGCTACAATGATAGAAGGGGAAATCGGCAGCTGGAAGTCTCCCTTGGACTTGCACAGACCAACTGCAGCACATACATGTTCACACACACAAGTGAAAATATAACTACTAGAAACAAAAAAGACACGATATGCAAATAATTCCCTTGTATCATATTCTATGAGTGCATCGTAAGTTTTCAGCTTCTACTTCAGATCCACTGGCTAGAGTTTGATGGCACTTGTATAAAGATTCAAAGCTGTGATCTTATCCATTATGTCGTAGGCACCAATCATATTTAGTCCCCGAACAAGTTTGTCTCTTAAGGCCGTAGCTGTGAGTAACACGTTCTGATCTGCTTTCCACTTAACAAAGGCTTGGTAGATTCTTTCATGTAACAATGGAGTAGTAGTACTGTGAAAATTTAAATAACAATTATTTTAATTACCAGCCATGAACATTACTTTAAGTTCCTTAAAGGTTGTCTAAGTCTTCAAATTAATTTTCCATATTTATGTGAGACTAAATTTAACTGAAGACAGTATATATGAACATTTACAGTGAGCCTGACACACAGAAGCAAACATTATTAAAAAAAAGCTTACATTTCAACTTACATTCAACTATTAAGACAATAATCACTGTGGGTTATTTACTGTAACCCAATGCAATAAAATGCATACTTTATGGCTTGGTCTCACTTAAACCTCACGACAACTTCCTAAGCTTGTGTATTCATTTGACCTCAGAAGAAACTGGAGCAGAGAGAAAGAAAAGGACACGTTGAAGGTCAGGAAGGCAGCTGAACTAAAAGCCCAGCAGCTCATCTCACACAGCCCGTCGTCGCCATTACACGGTATGGTTATCCAGCAAGGATGACAAATATGTCACAGGCCAAAGGCCACCATTTACAGTAGAGTTTATGTTAATGTAAATATCTCAAAACTCTAATATCAAGATCATATGAACGCAGGGGGAAATGCATTTGTGCGAATGCCGTTCATACTTACTTCCTTGCGGAGCTGCTGCTTTCTGAGCTTGTCATGTTTAGTTTTTGTTGCAAAAATTCAAAATTTATTTCACTGATATTGTTGGCAACTATGTTGAATATCTTCTCTAAGATTTTCTCTACATTTGAACATAGAAGAAACATTATTTGTTTTGAAAACAAAGATACTTTGAGTTAATATTTAGTTTTCTTCTGTGTTTTTATCAAACGTATTATGTCAAATAAAATTGAAAATGACAATGTAGAGCTGAACTGTCTTCAGTTTGTGCTCCCCATTGTGTTACTTCTAGAATCTAAGGAGACCTACAGCCTAAAATGGCTGCTTTGAAAGAATCTTTACAAGCATCTTGATAGTGATCTCCAAATCCTTTACTTTTTTCTGGATTTGAAATGAATTTGATTCCTTCCTTCAATTCTGGCTGTTTTATATTAACTACTTTGAGAAACTAGCATTTGTTGTAAATATGGCATGTAGATGCAAATTCATATTAAAGTAATTTATTATTTAGTTAGATATTAATTTTTTTAATTTATTTAAGGCTAGGCATGGTAGCATATGTCTTTAATTCCAACACTTGGGAAGGCTGAGGAAGGCAATCTCTGTGAGTTTGAGGCTAGCCTGGTCTACCTAGTGAGTTCCAGGACAACCAGGACTACACAGAAATACCATATCTCAATATATATATATATTTGGGGGGTAGGTGCATGTGAGTATAGGTACCCACAGAGGCCAAAGGTATTAATCAGATCCTCTGGGGTTGAGATTTCAGGCAATTGTGAGCTAACCAACATGGGTGCTGGGGACTGAACTCAGAATCTCTGCAAGAGCGGCATATGCTCTTAACCACAGAGCCGTCTTTTCAAACCCATTAGTGCCTTTTAAAATAATAAATCTTCTAGATAGTGCTATGTAGATATGTCTTTGTTGGCCAGAGCTTCTAGAAAGTGTACTCTAAATTCACCTTTGTTAACTAGAATACCATGAGAATTTTCAAGAATTAAGGCTCTCCCATGCTCCATATCGCAAATACATTATGGCCTTTTCATTTTGAGAAATTGTATATACACTGTTAATTCCTCAGATGAGATTTCATGCTAATGATAAAAAGAAAATAGAATTGCTTAATAAATGCTCAGAAGGGACTCTGTGATCCTTGTTAACTTCAGAATAAATGTTTCCCAGGCTACTTCTCCCAACTTCCTCGAGGATCAAAATTGCAGGGTAAAGGCTCCTTGAGCATACAGAGATGTGGTAAATTTCCAGATTGCTCTCCTCCTCCAATCTGTGAGATGTTGTCATTGCCTACTGCACTGTCTCCATCAAAAGCAGAGCAGCAAGAATGGTTTCTTTGAGAACTGGAGAAACAGGGCTTTAGCATGGAGGTTCAGTCATGTGACTCCACCGCCTTTCTCTAAGGTGCTATCCACGATAGAAATACCACGTAGACACTGGGACCTCTGAGACCCCTATTTTATAGAAATATTACCTTTGGGTGTAGTAATTAGTATAGTCGGCCTACAGTGAGTTAAAGGAGACAGCCATTGGGACTTCATTTTCTCTCGAGTTTCTTCTATCAGTGAGGCTCAAATCTTAGGAAAGCTTCTACATGGCAGCCATGTGCACAGTGTATAATGTGGCTTACAAAGGACAGTACTTTTTACTACAACTTTGTCATTAGCTTATCCTGGTATATGCCATTGGTTATGTAGATATGGCACATGGTAAAATGATTGAGGAACAGCTGAAGATGTTTCAGTTCCCCCCATGATTGCATTGAATAATCAACACAAACAGCTAGCCTTCAGAAAAAGGGAGATAGATAGTTTGTTACTGTCAGTTCAAAGTCTCCAACCAAAGCAAGCTCCCTTACTGTACAGACAGCAGAACACTTATGAAACTAGGTCCTCGCTCATCACCCACCGTCTCTTTCATCTGCTCTTTGGAGGTATTGTGTGATCGTATGCAGCTGTTTTCCTCTACAGATTTCCATCGGTGGTCTCAACAAAGGATTGTCATCAAAGTTTATCTCTTTCAACGACAGAAGACTATAGATAGCACTAGGCAGGGCTGTCAGACTGTTTCCTAGTGAGGGAAAAATGGGAAGGAATTACTCCTTTCTGTACAGTTAAACTGCAGAAACAGAAAATATGCATGCAGAAGTCTACTGTCCTGGAAAGATGTCCAAGGACACTCCCAGTGATGACAGTTCCAAAGTGTCCATGCTAGGAGAGAAAAGGAGGATATATTAAAAACCACTGTGGGTCCTTGGTCTCCTAGTAGTGGCAAAATGAAGCCAGGGACTATCTTCTTACAATACAACAACTGGCTTTGCAGAGTAGGCATTATCATTCTTAAAATCAACTTTTTAAAAAGCGACTTTTATACAAGTGTATCTGGTATGGCCTAACCCTTTTCTTACCCCTCCCTCCCCTTTGTCCTCTTTAGTGTCCCTTCTTCCATACACGCATGACTTTTTGTATTTATGTAGGAAGCACACGAGAGGAAATACTATTTGTCTGCATGAGACTGACTTAATTCACTTAATATGACCCCCCATTGTGTTCATCTTCCTGCAAAGGACATGACTTCATTCTTTATGGCTGAAACCCCCTCTATTTTGAGTATATCTCATATTTTCTTTATCATTGCTCTCTTGTTGGACACCTAGGTGGTTCCATAAATTTGCTCATGTGAACACTGCTCAGTACACATTGACATGCAGGTGTGTCTGTAGTGCATTGATTTGGAGTCTTTGTGTAAACATGGGTGTGGTATCTAGGTCATACGCGAGATCAGGTTTCAGTTTTCTGAAAAAGCTCCCTGCTGACTTCCATGGCTTCCCTTTCCACCACATCCTTGCCAGAATTTGTTGTTACTCTTTTTCTTAATGACTGCCATCCTAGCTGAAATAATTCTAGATTCACAGAAACATTCGAGTTTGGAGTGCTTTAGCGTTGGCTAATGCTATCTCGCACTAGTGTGCTGCGTTCTCTTAATTGTGTATTCTATTTCTGTTAGTTACACATGGAGAAGAAGGCCTGTTACTCTTCCTGAAGAGTGATATCAAGAAACCAACCAAGATCTGAAGCAGTTCGTGTGGTGTTAGGAGGGCACCTGTCTCATGCTTGTGAGACCCTGGCTTCCATCCTCACACCATGGACAAAAGGGAGAGGGAAACAAGAACTCATTATCCAGGGCTAGTCATTCTGAGAGGGGGCAGAGAGCAAGAGAGGGAGAGAGGGAGAGAGGGAGGGAGGGAGACAGAGAAGGGCAGAGAAGGGAGGAATAAAATACATTATAAAAACTAGAATGATTCATATAAAATATGCATACAAGTCACAATGCATAATACTCAGATCCTGACTTTTCTCACTTGCCACTTGAGGTCACCAAAGTTCTTATTCCTCAATGGCCTGTTCCTTTTGTTAATAAGTACTCCATGACAGATGTCAGTAATTTATTCATTCACTAGATGAAGGAGGCTCTTAAGTTTCCAGTTTGAGTGATTATGGATAAATCCATTCTATACATTTGCACTTAACTGAAAAATATAGTTGAAGTTTGACTGATGGGTCATAGGGTAAGTGTGAACCTAACTTTATAAGTGTTTCGAAATGCTTATACCATTTTTGCGTTCCTGCCAATTTTTTTCTTTTTTTCTTTTTCTTTCTGTTTTTTGTTTTTTGTTTTTTTGTTTTTTGAGACAGGGTTTCTCTGTGTAGCATTGGTGCCTGTCCTGGAACTCACTTTGTAGCCCAGGCTGGCCTCAAACTCACAGAGATCCGCCTGGCTCTGCCTTCCAAGTGCTGGGATTAAAGGCATGTGCCACTGCCGCCCGGTTCTTTTGTTTTGTTTTGTTTTTTCTCCCCCACATTTCAGTGGCTCATAGCTTGCCAGGCTTCAGCTCTTCTGCTAGTGACATTGGGTTATAGAGTGAATGTGTGAACTTCCTTTTCTCTAAAATCCACGCTACCCAACATTACTCATGTGTTGCCTCTGTCTGTGTAACTCTGTATGAAGGATCCATCCAACATTTATACCAGTTTTGGTTGAGTTGACTTTTTTTTTATAGTGTTGGATTAACTCAGAGACTTTTCTATACTAGGCAAGTACCTAATTAAACTCTACCATTAAACTGTATTGTCAGCTCTTCATTTCTTTTTTTTTCTTTTTTTTTTTTTTT